AGAAAATATATTTTTTTCGCGCATATATTTAACAAAATCTAACATCGAAATAATTTATTAATAATATAATAATTTTCTCGCGTAAAAATTTACTTTTTTATTATTTTTATTAATTATAGGAACCAAAGGATAAGATACCTGACGTCTTGGTGGAACACAACTCTTTGATGCGAGGTGCCATTCCTTGTTTACCAGTTCCATTAGCTTGGTTTTGTCTTGTTTGGAATGTTTTATTACCTGGTACAGGTAAGAAATAAACAGATAATCTCGCGATTGATGTTTTTTCTTTTGAATTTTTCTTTCATTTTTGTAGGAACCGTTTGGAGCGGACTTTTTAATTTTTGCACAGGACAACCAAGATTTTCAGCCGTGGCTAATATTAAAGCAAGATTCGGTGCATTTATCGTTAACCTGATAGTAGGAGTGAGCCAATTATTCACAGTTCTATTTTGTCTTGTTGGATGGGGTTGGAGCGTTTGGTGGGGCGTTACGATGATTCGTTTGGCAAGTAAGTCAATTTATATTGAAATCATTTTGATCAGGTGTACAAATGAATTCGATGCCTTTTTCTAATATCGTAAAAATTATTTCGGTACATTCAACGAATCAATTTTTTCATTTAAAATCCGTCAAATGAACAATGACGAAAGTAATATTTCTGACAAGTCATTATAATATTTGACAGACCTGTAACTTGTACAGTAAACCTTAAAGTATACTTTTCATAACCGAAAAAATATTTTTCTTGTAAATGATGACGTTAACGGTGGTAACAAAATTCGAATTCAAAACAGAAATTACGATCGTTTGAAAAATAAAAAGTCATCGAATTAATATGCACACTAGATACATTAATAATTAAGAAAATGTATTATAATGTTGTTCTTTTTCGATTTCAGGAAAGTACAAAAGATATAAAGCTTCAGAAGCAGCAAATGGTGATCCTGAAGCAAGAACCGGTGAAGGATCTGGCTTACCACCTGGGGTACCCAGTCAATCATTGAGAGGAATCGAAAGAGCACGTTGAACAATCGATTATTCTTCCTGTTTTTTCTTCCTCCTACGTGAACCGAAAAACGTGAAACGTTCGTTTATTCGTTCTTTGTAAAAGATCGACGAAACGGTTATTCACATTAGTTTTTTCACAAGACCATGTTATCACGATTTGGTAAGAATGATAAGTGATTTTATCATTCGACATTGTCCTATTTACGAGGAGACCTTATCTTACATATCATTCGGAGATTTTTCAGTAATTTTTCTTCAAACGATCAATTTTTGTACGAGTTGTTACAAAAAAAAAAGCGAACAAGATATTCTTTGTACGCAGTCAAAACATAAATAATTGATGTATACCATATAGATATGGGAATCATTTGTTTCTGTGACTTACAAGATTTTCTAATATGATTTTCGTATACTTTAATTATATTTGTTTTATTTACTGAAATGTGATGATACGTTTTATTGAAAATTTGTTTGAATAATATGTTTAAAATATCCACTTCCTGTTTAAATGCAGACACCATTTCGTCGTATTATTGAATTTTTAACATGTTCCTACTTATGGTTGTGAGTAGTAATATATTAGTGGATGCTTTAAAGATATTTAATCGAATCAAAAATTTTTACCAGACACGGTTACATATTTGAAATATCGAATTATTAATATATCTCGCATTTATTTTCAGTAAATAAAATAAACATAATTGAAATATACACTAGCCTAACACACATCATATATTTCATAATTTTATATCTAATAAAGTGAACAGTTTTCTGGATTCTGATTTCTTTTTTTCTTCTTTGCGTAAGAATAATCGATTCCGAAATTTTTAAAGCATAAATTTAGTCACACTATTTATATTTAAAAATATTCACAGATTATAATTTTGACAAAGCAGAAATCGATCATAGATATAAGACATTGTTTTCATGTATTTCATCGTAAGATACTCAAACTGTTATATTATTTTACTTAATTTTGTTTGAAATGTCTTTATAACAAAAATGTATCATATATTATTCGTTTAAGTATGATTTTCACTTCCCGTTGAAATATTAAATGAAAATATCTTGAAAAATTCCGAATATTTGTTAAACTCTCCTTAAACGAGACGACTGTTTTTTATTGGGCAAACGTTAACGAATAACATTTTTGAAAAAAAGAGCGCGAAAGTGTATAGCTCAACGCTCTTTTAAGTTAAAAGAGCTTTTCTCTTTTTTTCCAAAGCTCTTCCGTGTGAATTGTACTAATAAAGTTCACACAACATGAACGTCAGTTTATATTTTTACATGCTGAACGCACTATACGAGATGCATTATCTGCGTGTATGTTTATTGCGTGTATACGTATGTGTGTAAGTGTGCAAGTGTATATGCGTGCATATTTGCGTCCACGAACGTGGAAATCTCGACAATTATTACTACTACTAACCTACTTTTCTTGTAAATATGAAAATATATTACTTACGCCACTTTTTCATTTACTCACTGCCTCTTGAAGCTCTTCTACATTCCTTTCCTTTTTTTTAATATAAAATATACTATTATTATTATAAAATACGTGTTTTATATTCATTAAAATCAAATTTTTGATTATCCAAGATTACGAATTGAAATAAAATTAAATCGTGTCTTTTAAATTTATTAAAATTAAAGAAAATATTTTTCAAATATCTAATTTGTTGTTATAACGATATTACATTTTTATACGAAACAAATAAATAAAACGCGATCGTAGTAACAATTAAATGATATTTTACTATCGAAAAATATTAAATAAAAAAAAAAAAAATAAGATGTCTTTTCGATATACTAAATCATATATCATTCCTCATAAATATATTCACCTTTCTATCTATTATTATCTATTATTAATATTATTAATTTTATTATATCGTCAATTACTGAAATAAAGAAATTAGTTAATTTAAAAAGTAAAAACGAATAAAATTGTTCATCGATCGAGGTTAGTAAAAATTAAAGGGATTAGCTTTGTTCATGTCAATCTTTTATCTTTGTCAAAAAATATTTTATTTTTCAAATATCTCTCTCTCTCTCTCTCTCTCTCTCTCTCTCTCTTTCTTTCTCTCTCTCTCTCTCTCTCTCTCTCTCTCTCTCTCTCCATATTTTTATATATCATTCATAATTCGAGTGTAAACTGTAACTGAATATTTTTGTTATATCCGTTTTTTTAATGTCTTTTTGTATTATTTGGCCTTTTCTTGTAACGTATATACAGTGTCGAGATAATTACGTGTACATGCTGGCGTTTTCATAGAAAAAAAAAAAAGAAAATTCACGAAGCATGCATATGCCGTTTGTCGTGATAAAAATTCATAATACTTGTGTGATATGTACAGTCAGTCGCAGAAATATTTGTATTCACTGTGAATTTTAAATACATGATATTTGCTTGTAATTCAAAACTTTTCAATTATTATACACAGAAAACTAGTTTAGGATTATACATATATATATATTTTTTTTTTAATATTATTATTGTACTTAAATGATCAAAAAAATTCGTTTCATAAGAATATTTATACATCTTTACACGAAATATAATAAATATACAGTTATTATTTTCATAGATAATACTTGGTTTGTATCTTATAATTATATCTTTTAATACTTTTGAGATAAATGAGCATATCTTTTATTAGACTAATTTTCTTATAAATTATGTACAATTATACTTCTTTTAAATTATGATACTCTTTTACAATAAAATTTCTATCAATTGAAAAGTCTAATATTTATAAAATACGTGTCTGTATAGAAGAAATTGGAAAAAAATTGTATTACAAGAAAATATTGATTGTTTTAAATATACGTTATAAGAAAATTCCTGTGACTTACTGGACACACATATATATATATATAGATATGTTATATATATATATATTATTTATATATTTATAGATGCATATATACAAGGTGTCCTACATAACGCTAGTCACGATTTTTCAAGTACTTGCGATAACCGGACAAAATATATTTTAAACAAAAGTTGATCTGTTTTTGATTGACTATACATTGCAATAAAAAAAATTTACTTTTTAATATTTTTTAAGGCTACCTTTATTTCTTTAAATAACACTTAGTATTTTTGACTTAACAATACATTTTCTACAAGTTAACATTAAACTGCGATTTGCTTCCGTGAATATACTTTTAATATTTTTTATACTTATAGCAACCGGATTTTAATGATATTTATATTAAATTAAAGTATACTCTTTTGTCTACGAGGAAAATACTCTGTCAAATTATAAATCGATCTGTAATGGTTCATAAGATGTCAGGGAATGCAATGCTATAAATTGTGCATCTTTGCAATTTTTTTGAAAAGTTTCGGTAAATATTTTCTATACTAAAACTGAATAGATTTTAATGATTCTTATATTAAATTAAAATACACTCTTTTGTCTACGCGTAGAATATCATATCTAGTTATAAATCAATCTGAAAAAGTTTATAAAATGGCAAGGAATACGATGCTGCAAATTTTTCCTACTTTGCCATTTCTTTGAAAAGTTTTGGCAAATTTTTTTTATACTTAGAGCAAGCGGATCTTAATGATTTTTACTCTAAATTAAAGTTCACACTTTTGTCTACGCGTAGAGTACCTTTTCGCGTTATAAATCAATCTACAAAGGTTCATAAAATGGCAAAGAAAAATTAGCGGATTAGGCATTGTTCACATTGCCTAAAACCAGGCATTGTTAACATTGCCGGCCTAGGTTCCAAACCTCCCCCGGCAATGTTAACAATGCCTGGCCTTAGGCAATGTGAACAATGCCTGATTCGCAAACTTTTCTTTGCCATTTTATGAACCCTTGCAAATTGATTTATAACTCAAATGAATATTCAACTTGTAGATAAAAGAGTGTACTTTAATTTAATATAAGTTTCATTAAAATCTATTTGCTAAAAGTATTAAAAATATTTGCCGAAACTTTTCAAAGAAATGGCAAAGTAGGAAATATTTACAGCATCGCATTCTTTGTCATTTTATGAAAATTTTCAGATTGATTTATTACTCGATATGATATTTTACACGTAGACAAAAGAGTGTACTTTAATTTAATATAAAAATCATTAAAATCTATTCACTTTTAGTGTAAAAATTATTTACCAAAACTTTTCAAAGAAATAGCAAAGATGCACAATTTACAGCATTGCATTCTCTGACATTTCAGAACTTTACATGCTAAATTTATAACTCGAAAAAATATTCTACGCGTAGACAAAAGAGTATACTTTAATTTAATATAAATATCATTAAAATCCGCTTGCTATAAGTATAAAAAATATTAAAAGTATATTCTCACGGGAGCAAATCGCAGTTTAATGTTAACTCGTAGAAAATGTATTGTTAAGTCAAAAATACTAAGTGTTATATAAAAAAATAAAGGTAGCCTTAAAAAACATAAAAAAAAGAAATGTTTTTCGAACATTTTTTTATTGCAATGTATAGTCAATCAAAAACAAATGAACTTTTGTTTAAAGTATATTTTGTCAGGTTATCGCAAAGTACTTGAAAAATCGTGACTTGAATAATGTGGGACATCCTGTATATATATCCGTGAAAATAAATATATAAACTACAAAGGAAGGAACTATCCTGAGAGAAATTTTTTTTCCCGCGCGATATTTTTGTTTATTTATTATTTTTATCAGTTACGGTGACTTTCGTCTAATCTCCGGCCTTAAATAAAATACTTAGCATCGTAATAATACCATCTTGGAATACTTTCTATAATATATATCGAAATAAAAAACAAATATATATATATATAATATTATATATATATATATACATTATCTACAAACTGTTTAACACGTTTATCGCCATCCGTAAATCTGAAACTGTTTCTGTAACCAAAATTCACGTTGCAATTAAAATGTTTATATTGTTTGTTTACTGCATCTTAACTCGAATTGATTTAAAAGCAATTTTTTTATGTCTCATATTAATTTCTTTATTCTTTGCAATTTTATCTTATATTAAAATATCGTTATTTGCTATAAAATAAATTTATTTAACGAAATGATCTAAAATACAGCGGTGTTTTCATTTTTTCTTATCTTTCTTCTTTACTTTTTGACAATCTTATATTTTTTCTGTTTTTAAATCTACTGAACTTACTCTGTTTTTCATTGTCCTAACATTATATATACGTTTCTACAAAATTTTAATTTATTACAATTAATGATAACGAGTGTTTTTTTTTTAACTTTTTCTTTTATAGACTCGCGCACACATTATCTATAATCAGATAAAACTTTTGTAAACAAACAATCGTCATAAAAATCCCTTTTATCACCGGCTGCACGATTCGAAAATTTAACAACAGTTGTCTGTTTAATTCACAATTCGACTCGAGACTTTTAAATTATTTT